TCCGCCGCGCCCTCGCCGTCTGCGGGCTGGGCCTGCGCCCCCCGGACCCGCGCGCTCTGCCGCCGGTGTGACCGCGGCCCCTCGGGAGACGGGAGCAGGCCGGGCTGGGCAGGGCGGCCCGAGAGGGTTTTGGTTCGGTTGTTGATTAAAAACCCAAACACACCCCTGCACATTGCAAGAGTCACGCTCCCATTTGTCAACTCATAACGTGAAAACCCCACTAAGGTTCCGAGCACCCGAGGAGCCCAGCTGGCCTCGTAGTTTACCGAGCTGTCCACACAGCGTGCCGTGCACCCTTAAAGCAGCTTTCTGGTAAGTTCCTGAGCTGGTCACTTCCGGATCATTTTCTCCACCCCAGAAGGAAGCCGCACACGTTGGCAGTCACCCCCACCTCCTCCGCATACCCCACAGTCAGCGCCCCCTCACCTGCCTCCGGTGGACTCAGCTTTGAGCAGAATGGCATCGTCTAGGGTTTTTGCAGTTCTTAGAGATCCGGGTGCACCACTGGAGTCTCCTTCCTTTTCTTGGCTGAATCATACTCTACCATCTGGCTGTAGACCCCTTGTTTCTCCATTAACCTGTCCATGGGATCTGTCAGAAGCTGCCTGCCCATTTCTGCACACACTCCCGCGTGAAGCACATTTTCCTTTCACTTGGGTGTCTGCTTAAGAGGAACTTCTGTCCCTAATGTTTATGAATACATGCCAGGCCGCCTTCCAGAGTGCTTACCTTTGCCTCCTTAGCAGGGGGTGGGAGGACGGCGGCCTCACCTGCTGCCCGTAGTTGTCTGGGCCAGAGCTGGTAGCTCGGCTGGTAGCGGTTCTGACTGCTTGCCTACCTGAGGGAGGCTGAGCAGATGCCTCCCAGGTGCCCGAGTCTCTGCCCTGCAGAGACATTCATTCTTGAGCACAGCTGCTTTGAGCTGTTGATCTCTTGTCAGCAGGTCTGGAGTCCCCTTTCTACAATTCCCTTATCGGTCTCGTTGGCAATTTCCTTATGAGACACAGGATTTCCAGATCCTTGTCTCTAGTCTCTGGGTTTCTATTTTACCTTCCTGAATCGCCTTTGTTTTGTTGTTTTTCCCTAACTAGCCTCAAACTCACTATGTGGACCAGGCTGGCTCCAACTTGCAGGGATCCTCCCACCTTCTGAGTACCAGGATTGCTGGCCTGAGCCACCATGCCCAGCTTTAACACCTTCTAACTTTATTTTTTCACCACTGTAACAGTTTTTTTCGCCTTGTTCTATGATTTTGGTGTCATATCTAATACAACGTTATCTGATTTGAGCTTGCAGAGTTGTTTTTTGTCGTTTTAGAACATACCCTCAAATCTTTGCCCACTTGGGCTGAGCTCCATCCTTGACCTGCGGCTCTGATCCCCTTCATTATTTCTGCAGACATCTGTCCCACTGTCACACAACCACGTATTGGAGATAGTTCTCTTCCCGTGGTGCTGTGCGAGGTCCTGTAGGAGTCAACTGATGCAGAGAACACGTTTCTGGGAGTTTGCTTCTGTCCCATTGATATCTGCCTTTCTGGGTGGGTTGCAGGCCATGCTGTGTCAGGGACTGTTGGCTTTCAGTAAGTTCTGATGTGAGGACGTGAGCCCTCTGACTTTTCTCTTCCTCCACATTCTTCTCTCTGTTCTGTACCCTTCGAACGTCCTAACAACGTGCAGGTTAGTTTATGCATTTCTGCAAAGAAGACAGAATGGGTTGTGTTGAAGATTGCCCTGGATCTTTAGATCCTTGAGGAAGATTACTGATGGAAACGTGTCCTTCTTGCTGCATAAGCAGGTCTGCTTTGGCTCTGTTCAGCAATGCCTTTTGATTTCCAGTATATAAGCTTTGCCCTTGTGTTAAATTTGTCTCTGAGTGTTTTATTTTTCTTTTTATATGATTATAAACTGTTTTCTAGTTTCATTTTCAGAATGTTTGCTGCTGGTGCTTAAATGAAGCAATTTATTCTTATGTGTTAATGCCTGTAACTGTGTTGGGTCTCTGGGTCTTTCCCGCTCTTCCTCCATTCATAAAATGAGGAAGGTTTTTCCTTTCAGTCCGATGAATAGACACAGAGGAGTAACGATGCTGTGGCTGGCGGGTCTGAGGAAGTTCTTGCTTTCATACACTGTTGGCAGGCGTAATGGAGAAAATTCCTGGAGGGCAGATTGGCACTGTGGCCAAAAGCTCAAAGTGAGCTTGTCCAGGCCTTTGTTCTGAAGAAGTGGCCGGGCACAGCCACAGAGGACCACCTGGGCTCTCTGGAGCAGCAGAGGCTGAACTTGCTCTCCATGGACTTGGCTGAGTGTGATGTGGCGCGTACAGTGGATGGAATCATTAGATTGATTCTGCAAGGTGACTTTTCACCTTTAACCTGTTTATAGTATGAGGCTTCATTGATTAAACGGTACTGTTTAATTAAGTTAAATATTAAATACAAAACTCGAGTAGACATGCCATGAGCTGTGTTGTTCATGTTTTGAGCCTTTCTGCCTCAGATAACCCAGTTCCCAGGATCCCTCAGGACCTGTTTGAGGTCCTGGATGGTGCTCCTGCTGCAGGCTGCCCCCATGTGGTCTGCTCCAAACACTGCAGCCTGTGGTCCTTAACTCTAAGGCAGACCTGTCTCTCCTCACTCAAAACCCAAGCCTCACACAGAAGGACAACCCAGTGGGACCTCCTTCTATCTGACCCTCCAGGGCCTTGCCTTTCTCAGCCGACACCCCTCCACTGCGCTCAGTGCCCTGTCTCCAGCCTCTTACCTTCCAGGGCCTTTGCACCTTGTCTTGTTCTCTTCCTACAGGAAGGCTTGGGCTCCTGCCCTCCCCCTCAAGCTTTGCTTCTTGCAGCATCTCCCAGTATGCATTGCAGTTTACTTTATATTGCCATTACTGCTCACTGTCTGACACACTAGCCTGTGGGAGGTCTGGGCCTGGAGATTTGTCTTTTCTTCTCTGATGTATTTTAGACTCTTAGACTCTGTGCCTGGCTCATAGTAGTTACTTAATATGGTGACTATGGCTTTCATGGACCTGAAAAAAATTTAAATTGTATCTTGGCCTTCTTAAATAATATCTTATATTGTTTAACTTTTAATTTAATTTAATTTTTTAATATTTTACTCGCTATGAGGCCCAGACTGTCCTCGATCTCACAGAGATCCGCCTGCCTCTGCCTCCCAAGTGCTGGGATAAAAGGTGAGCGCCACACCTGGCCCTTCCTGAAATTTTTGAACCTACAATCATCCAAAAAATTGTTTAACCTTTTATACCCTTGTTTTTATTGCCCAAATAACCTGCAAGATACAGTAGACATGTAGAGGTGATTGACATCTTCTTTCCATCCCCAGAAGCCACACCTTCCTGTGTGTGTGTGTTCCCTTCCTGTGGTCTCTTGCAGTATCTACTGTCCGTCCATCTGTCTATCTTCTGTCTGTCTTCTCTATTCATGATCTACATTTTTATTGTGCAGCTTCGACATCATCTAACGTCTCCTTTAAATACGTGTCCCACACTCCAAACAGATGTTCGGTTGCTTCCTTTCTTCCCCACCTCATGATGCTGTGAAGTCACCCTTGCACACATGGTGTGACTCAACCATGTTAAACTAGTAATTGTGGCACCACTGCAGGCTTGTGCAAGGAGATTCTGCTGAGGGGCAGAGTCATTCAGCACACTGTCTTTATCTGTGAAAAGAGCTCATGGAACATTGCAGGTGCCTACTCTCCACCCCCAACAGACTCAGGTAGCGGAGCCTCCAGGCCTTTCCCTGTTTTCTGAAGGAGTTGCATCTTAGGTGGTTCCAGCTCTGGGGGGCAGTAGGAGGAGCTTCCCTGTGTAGCTCAGTGGCTCCAGTGGAGGCAGCTCGTTCTACAGGTGATCCCAGCTACCGTTAAAGAAAGGAACAGGCACCCCACCTTCAGGGCTATTCCAGGGGGTAACGGGAGCCGAAGTCATGTCCAAGGCGAGAGGCTGGAGCCGCAATGTCAGCTGTCCGAGAGCCCAGGGTGTGAAGGAGAGTCGAGGTGACTACACTAGTTCAGGTCGCAGGATTGAGGTGGTTCCCAGGCTCTGCAGAATCATGCACATGATCCTTGTGTCCAAGCTTCCCGGTGGTTCTTCATGGTCTGGGGGCCATGTGTCCATGGACTTGGCTTTCTAGTGTGAAACACAGCTGACTGACTCCGGAGACGCTGCCTTGTTTCCGCTTCTAGAGGGTAGTGTCAGGATGGGCCCGCCAGTGGTGAACAGGAACACGGGGAAGCTGCTCCCACCTGAGGTTCCTGGGAACACGGAAGAAGCCCCAGGACTGAAATTTTCCATAGTATGCTTTGCCTGTGCTGTGACCCTCGTAAATGACACCACACCTCAGACCGGTGTTCTGACTTGACTTACAGTGAGATTCTGCAATGTTAAGGCCCTGTGGAAGAGCCAGATCAATGTCTGGCTCTAGTTTATTGCCGCAGGAATCTTATCTTGGGCTGCTGCAGTGTTAAAGCCGTGTTAAAGAGCCAGATCATTTTCTACAGACAGGAAGCCTTGTCTTGATTGTTTTTCTTTCTGTGTTCAGCACGATTCACCCAGCAGCACAATTCAGTGATATTTCAATCCTGACTCCTTTCCTGATGGCCATGCTGGGTGGAGGGACTTGGTTCCCAAGACCTTGGGATTGTGGTGGCCAGCGATGGGCTCAGGGCTGAGGACGGTCTTTTCATTGCACTGACAGC